GGCAGCACAGCTGAGATTCATCACAGCTCAGAGAAGCACCACATTCATTTCTCCAGGACATGAGGTCCCCATTGTCCCTACCCACGCCCTGCAGCCTTGCTGAGCCAGCTTTCGACGTTCCTCAGTGTGCAGACTCTTTGAGGAGGAAATATTAAAAAAAAAAAACATCATGCTTCTCCATTTCTCGCTTCTAGCCCATGGAATAAAGAGATCTCCAAAGTTCAGTATCTCCTGAGCCTACCTTGGCCTCTTGGAGAGGATAAGCAGCCCATCTCTAAGCAGGCACTGCAGACCTGGAGCACTTCAGAGCCAAGTGTCCCAGGGCTCTCCCAGCTCCCCAGACCCATCCTTGTCGAGCCTCAAACACAGTGGTAGGACTGAGGACATGGCCAGCATTGCTGTCCTTGCAGATCTGCCACCCAAGTGCCACCCAGTCAGTCTGTTGCAATGCTGAACAAGATGCCAGAATGTACTGCCACCGCAGCTTTGCCATCAGCATTGCCCACTAGCTTTACCATTGGTTTTGCCATTAGCTTTGCCACCCACTTTTCTTCCAGACCCCCAGTGCAGAATCACGTAGCTGGCGTCACCCCAGCCACCAGTGTTGCCTTTGGGCACCCTCCCCATGCTTCATCTGGGTTCCAGCTGGGAGCAGAAAGGAGTGGAATGAAGACGGAGCTGGGTTCAATTGGAATGCAGGAATATGGTGTAGGAGCTGAGTTACAGGAAGGAAGCCCCTGCCAGGCTTCTGACCCCAACCCACAGCCAGATCCCCCCTAAGAAGCTGTAATCCCTCTTAGGGGCACGGGCAGTAATCAGGGATTTGGCTCCAGGCGTGCAAACGTGTATGAGCACAGGGCAAAGTGTGCAGGCGTGTGCATGCATCACAGCTTTGTTGTGCCTGGCAAGTGTATGCCTGCAGGATGCAACCAGCTCAAAAAGGAGAAGAAAGGCAACAGGAATGAGAGAAGGAGAAGAAAGGCAACAGGAATGAGAGAAGAAAATGTGCAATTGGGCAAAATACATAACAGGGTAATTTGGGGGTCCTGACTGTACCTCACCCAGTTTTCTCCTCAGGATGGCTCTGCTCTGGGCTAACCCAGCACTGCGTAGAGCAGAGCAGCTCCAAATCCAGGAGCTGAAGTGAGCAGAGTTCAGTCCAAAAGCAAAGTGCAGTAGTTAATGACCGCCTTCTGCCATTAACAGCTGCTGGATTGGGGTGAGTAGCAGCTTGGAAAGGGCATCCCGTGCAGCAGCCTGTCACACTCCCCACTCTTTTGCACGGATACTCATCACTGCTGAGGGACCAACAGCTCCACTGGAGCTTCTCAGCAACGCAGAGCATCCTATCAAACACTTCAGAGCCTCACATGCCTTTGTTTGCCTCTTTCTAGCCAAATACCCAAGTGCCTTCATCTGACTCCAATCCAATGACCGTGGGAGCAAGAGGCTGGTGATGGGACTGTGATGGTGATGGTGAGGGTAGTGAACATATGGCCAAGCACAACCATTTTTCACCAAGAGAAAATTACACAGCTTGCATTTCAGTGTATGTGCTCGGGAGTGATCACTCCTATGTCTGCTCCCAGAAATGTCCTACTCTTACGGGGAAACCAGCAAGAGCCACCAGGTCAACTCTGTAAAACACTGTAAGAAATCTCTAACCTGAGATTATAGGGATGGGGGTGACCCAGCAGCACACAGCATGTGGCTGGAGGGTGGAGATGTGACGCTGGAGGGACGTGGCTCTGGGCAGCACTACGTGGCTGTCAGATGGCCCTTACAAGCCCCAGCACTGCTGTTCACAGCCCAGCAGGATTTGAGTACAGCTGTGAAATTCACACCCCAGCCCAGAACTCATTTGCACAAAAGTGCGACTTGCTCAACAAATTAAAATGGAAAGGCCAGAAATCACGTGGCCGATGAGCTGCTCACCTGCAGGTGATCCTGCCTGGGGACAACAGCAGGCAAAGCCATCAGCCCTTGCCCAAGGCATTCCAAAATTCAGCCTCCAGCCTTGCTGTGTCAGCCATTGGCACCAGCTGCCCAATGATGTGATGGAGTCACTGTCCCTGGGGGTGTTCAAGAACCGTGGAGATGTGGCACTGAGGTTTAGTGGGCATGGTGGGGGTGGGTTGGAGTTGGATTTGAGTTGGGGTGATGATGGTTTAAGAGGTCTTTTTTGGCCTTAATGATTCTGTGAGTCTGTGATTAGGCATGGTGATGCAGACAGGTCAGCAGTTGGACTTGATGACCTCAAAGGCTTCTCCAGCACAAATGACTCTGTAAGTGAGCATGATGGTGATGAGGTGGCAGCTGGACTTGATCTTAGAGGCGTTCTCTAGCATTTATGATTCTATGGACCATGTCTTGCTGCCCAGGAAGAGAGCCAGCCCCAGCTCCAGGAATGCTCAGGCAGCAGCGCCCTCAGTAGGCCTTGGGGGATCACACCTTGGCCATAAATCCCCGCAGGAAGTGCAAGGGAATGTGGCAGGGCTCTGCTCAACAGTGCCTGGGGCAGCCCAGGGGCACAGGGCACGGCCTGGAGCTCAAGAGCTGCCCATCAGCAGCACTGCAGTGCTGGGTGAGTGTCGAGCCCTGGCACACGGGGTGGAGAGCTCTGGGGGTCCTCCTTGGGGATCTCCCACTGCCCCTGGCCATAGAGCTGGGAACCCAACCATCCTGAGGCTCTGGGCTTCTGGGAGGTGCAATAGGAAGCTCAGAGGATGGGCTTAGACCAAGCTTTGAGGGCTGCGCCAAAGCTGGTGAGTGTGGAGGCATTCTTCATCCCAACGCCTCACCTCAACGAAATTTCCCTATTTCCTAAACTGATTTCTTCCTTATAAAAATAACTGGCTCAGAGAGGCCTAATAAAGATGAAAGAGCTTTTAAAGTGGGAATCATCGCTCCTTTTTGGCCATAAAGCATTCAGAATAGCTCTCCGTCATGAAAAAATATTGCATAGCAGGGGATCTGCCAGGGAGGGTGGAGGCAGATAATACAGTTAAGAGATATGAATTGCTTGCGCCACAGAGGTCTCCTGGATCTAGGGGAGACTGGGGGACTGGGGAAAGCATGAAGCAAACTGAGATGCTAGGATGGGTGAAATGGAACCTGTGACGGAGCTTTGTGCACCATCCCAAAGAAGCGACGCCAACCTCATGCACCCCGCATCCCATTGCAAGAGGAGAGAATCCAAATCCCATTGCAAGAGGGGAGCACCCACATCCCATTGTAGGAGGGGAGCACTCTTTCTGCTCACTCGCACGTTGCTTGGTCCCAGTGCCTGGAGGAGCCTCCTGGCAGCCCCTACAGCACTGTATTTTACATGTAAGGCAGCCCAGGTGAGACCTAAGGAAAATGAATCCTGGTAAGCCTTGGGTTCCTTGCTACAGGGGAGGAATCTGCAGGCAAAAGCAGTGTGGTAAAGCAGAGAGATCAAGGGTTTGTGCACAGGGAGGGGGCTGTGTGTGGTGCCATCCCGAAAGGTTTATTTAAAAGAAAACAACCCTTTATCCCACAAAAAGCCGACCCCACACCCCCAGCACCCATCGGAGCACGGAGCCTTCCCACGCCTGATCCCCAAAAAGGAACAGATGCCCCTGCACCAAACACCCAATAAAGCACTTTCCGTCCGACCCCTCTGTTCCCGAAAGCAATTAGCAGCTTCGCCTGGAAAACTTGGCTGGCTGCAGCTGGCAGGGAGACGCTAATCCCATCCACCTCGGGGACAGCCACATCGGCACCGTGCCCCCCGCTGCTCCGCTTTTGTTTGCTACCTGGAAGTGTCCCTCCGTCCCCATCTCCGCCCCCACCCCCAAGGGCCATCCAGAGGGCGGCTGCGACGCGGCGCTGGGGGTATATAAGGCAGCGGGGATGCGGGGACGTTGCAGACGCGCTCTCCGGGAGACGGGGACGGTGGTGGCTGCGCTCCAGCCCACGCCACAGGTGAGACCTCAGGGATGCGGCATGGCCCAGAAGGGCACCTCCGGGGGGTGCGGGGAGGGGGAAAGTCGGCAAAATCTTGGTTGCAAAGTCTTGGGTGGGTTGTTTGCACGGTTAGATGGAAGGTTAGCAAGGAGATAAATCACCCTCCTCCGTGAAATGCTTTGTGCATCCCTGCCCCCAGCCTCTGCCACCCTTTATTCTCTGCTTTTTTGGGTTACTGTATGCTGGTGCATTACAGAAGTGGTCCCAGCAGTCGCAGCAGTGTAAGAACTGGGAGGTCCCAGGCGGCTGCTCCCATGATTTTGGGGCAAAAGAGCAAAAAGAACCTCCATGCCCTCACTTCGTCCGCTCTCTATGGAGCAGGATGAGATTTTCATTAACTTGCCTATCGTTTTCTAAATTGTGGGATGGGGTTTTCCTCCCTTGGCACTCCCAAGGTGAACCACGTGAGTCCCCATAAAGTTAAAAGCAACTTGGGAAAGAGTTGGGCTTGGCAAAAGCAAAGCGCACGGATACATCCATCCGCATGGCTCTGCTGCCATCACCACAACCCTCACCTTGTCTGGACTCACCCAAAGCAGTCCCTGCAGCACAGCCTTCAGCTTCCATCCTCAGCCTGCGTCTGTTTTAGCAAATCCTTAGCACAGCAGTGGAGCCATCCCTGAGAGCACTGGCATCCCCGACACCTCCAGCATCTCCCAGAGTGCTTCCCAAGCGATGATCTGATGTTATTTCATGTATCATTTCAGCTCGAGGGGGGTTTGCAGGGGCTACAGCCTGCAGGCAGCTTTCCCTTGCAGCATCACTCGTCTGCCTGTGGCTCTCAGGAGGGGCAGAAATCCTCAAGGCAGCAGCTGTCACCTGCAAAGCCGGGTGTTCACGCAGGTGACAAAGGACCTGGGATTTCGGAGGCAAAGGATGGCGACAGCAAAGCCACAAAGGGCTGGAAAGAGGGGATGCAATCCTAGCAAGAAGCAGCAGCCCCATATTTGGGCAAATAGTTATTATTTTTTCTTTTTTTTTCTGTAGTTCCTCTGCAGTTTGGGTGCCCATCCCTTGCCGGTAGGATGCAGGGTGCGCTGTGCCGCAGCCTGCCTGTGGTGCTGGGGTTGCTGCTGTGCCACCCCACCACCGCCAGCGGTCCGTGCTGGGAGAACAGCAAGTGCCAGGACCTGGCCACCGAGGCTGGTGTTTTGGTAAGTGGGAGCGTGGGGCTGCCCCGGGCTCGGTTTGCTTGCTAACCCCAATGGAAGAGGTGACAGGATGCTGTCCGTGCTGGGTGACACACGGCAAGGTGGAGTGATGCCTTGGGCACCGCGATCTGTGGGTTTTGGTGTGCTCATGCCTTTTGGCCTCATAGAGTCACAGAATCTTAGAGTGAGAAGGGACCTCAAAGCTCCCCCAGCCCCAACCCCTGCCACAGGGAGACCTCTCACCAGATGAGGTTGCCCAAAACCCCATCCAGGGATGGGGCACCCACAGCTTCTCTGTTCCACTGCCTCATCATTTTCATCATAAAGAACATCTTCGCGTTGGGTAAAATCAGTTTTCGAACTGAAGTCATCCCTCCTACGTGGGACAAACAAGGAAATCAGAGAGTGGTAACGGGATGGTGGTTATGGTTCATCCTCTGCAGGGGCTGAGTGTGTTTTGGGGACCCAACGCACAGCCTCCATGTGTGGTCCGTGCTCCCCCAGCACCTCTTACATCCCCACAGGATGTGTTGGATGCTCCATGCTCCCCCTGGAGGATACATAGAGTGGCGCTTGCACGGGAACATCACCAAGGCACATGGCCACAGGTTGCACATTAGGAAAGATTTCTTCCCTGAAAGAGTGGTGAAGCAGTGGCACAGCTGCCCAGTGGGCTGTGGGGTCACCATCCCTGGAGGTGCTCCAGAACCGTGACACGACACACTTGGGGACATGGTGACCGGGCATGGTGGAGCGGGCTGACACTTGGACTTGGCGACCTTAGAGGTCTTTCCCAAGCTGAAGGATTTCATGATTCCATTTTGCCCCGTGCAGGCGTGTGCCAAGGCGTGCCGAGCTGAGCTGTCGGCCGAGGCACCCGTGTACCCCGGCAACGGGCACCTGCAGCCCCTCTCCGAGAGCATCCGCAAGTACGTGATGAGCCATTTCCGCTGGAACAAGTTCGGCCGGCGCAACAGCAGCAGCGGAGGGCATAAAAGGGAGGAGGTGGCCGGCCTCGTCCTGCCCATCACATCACCCCACCGCCCCCCCGGGGAGGAGGAAGACGGAGAAGGGTTGGAGCGAGAGGAAGGGAAGCGCTCCTACTCCATGGAGCATTTCCGCTGGGGCAAACCGGTGGGACGGAAGAGGAGACCCATCAAGGTGTATCCCAACAGCGTGGACGAGGAGTCGGCCGAGAGCTACCCCGTGGAGTTCCGGAGGGAGACGGCGGCCGACGAGGATCCCCTCGGCCTCTCGGAGGAGGAAGAGCAGGAGGAGGAAGGCGAGGAGGAAAAGAAGGACGGCGGCTCGTACCGCATGCGGCACTTCCGCTGGCACGCGCCGCTGAAGGACAAGCGCTACGGCGGCTTCATGACCCTGGAGCACAGCCAGACGCCGCTGATGACTCTGTTCAAAAACGCCATCGTCAAAAGCGCCTACAAGAAGGCCCAGTGAGCGGGGACGGCCCTCGGGGCAGCCCAGCCCACGTGGCCCCAAGCAGCTTTAGTGTCCTGCCGGCATGTGTGTCACTTAGATCCACAGATCGCTCGTTATGTCCTTAATTACTACTCCGAAGCCCTCCTGCCCCCACACCCAATGGCGACAGGTTGGGGCTGAATGCGCCCATGTGAGCAGTGCTCACGCCGGGTCATTTTCCTACTTTCACCAAGCTGTAAAATACTGTAAATGATGGATTAAAAGAATTCTAAAAACGAAACAAAACAAAACAAAACATATATCTCTAATTTTTGCTAGCTAGCCATGCATCTGCAATGTCTGTGGGGCTGTGTCTTGCAAAGGGGCAAAGGAAATAGGGACAAGGTTCAGTGGGCACGGTGGTGACAGAGGTTGACAGTCGGACTTGATGATCCTCACAGGTCTTTTCCAACCTTAATGATTATCACAGAATCATATCACAGAATTGCTTGGGTTGGAAGGGACCTCAAGGATGGTGAAGCTCAAACTTCCCCCTCTCTCTTCCCCCCACCACAGGCAGGGCTGCCAACCTCCGTATCTAATACTACACGAGGCTGCACGGGGTCCCATCCAACCTGGCCTTGAACACCTCCAGGGACCTAAAAGTGAAATTGAGAATAACTCCAAGCCCAAATCCTGCAGCTGGGAGCCAAAAGACATCACTGGGGCTGTGCACGGGAGATGGTCGTGGGGCTAAATTTCATCAGGTTACTCCCAAGGAAGGGATTCAGGCTTCCCCATCCCTAGGCAGCTTCCCCAGTACTTATCTCCCAGGTAAACTCATTAATTGCCTACTGAATGGCAACACAGAAGACTCTCAGGTACAAAAGAAAGTGACGTTATTTATAAAGTCACGTTGCTAAATCGTTTGCACAGAGGGGCAATGAAAGCAGGGAGCAGTTGGGGATGTGGGACCATCTGCAAGAGCAAACGCTGTTACCTGTGCCAGGAGTAACAAACCCTCACCATTTCCCCCAGCCTCACAGAGCCCCAGGTGCCATCAAGGTGCCAACAGAGCAGATCCCATAATGTGGCAACATCAACATTTATTGGAGGGCTTGCCTGGAAATACTGACAGCATCTCGGCCCTTTCACACCCACTTCTCTCCTGCCCTCAGCTACGCACGGAAACAACACAGTGCCCTGAAATACAGAGATGGAAACGCACACATGCACCTAACTGCCAAGTTTATAGAAATATACTTTGTCATCTATACATACACCAGTATCTAAACTAAACGTGATGTACAAACGAGTCACTTACACTGTGTGTGTGTGTGTGTAGGGACATTTACAGGTGGAGTTTGGGTCCTGAAATGCAATGCTGAGCACAGCCAGCACTTGCTTTTGGAGGGGAATAGGGGATGTGCTGGGGGATGTAGCGAGGGAACAGCACTGGGACCAGGGAGACCACACCGAAACCCCCAGCCAGGGGATAGGGGATAAGGTGCAGTCCTGGCCCAGGTTCCCTGAGCAGCAATGGAACCCCAGGACTGTGCCATCCCCATGGCAGCCAGGTTCCAAGGAGCAAGCCTCGTGCTCATCTTCCCACCTTCCTTCTGAATTTGAAGGGATTTGGAAGCATCTCCCCCCCATGCACACACAGCCTGGGGGTTAATTGCTTCTCCTACTGCATTTTGCTGAACTTTTACTGCTTTTCATTAGCACAGCTATGGGAGCAAAACATCCTTTGTCAAGCAGCCTCCTCACGTTCCCAATGCCAGCTCCACAACTTCACCCAGCCAAAAACCCATGGGGGACTAGGCATAACTAAGGGAACAAAACGGGACAGGCTGGGAACAGAAAGATGGGGGGAGACCCCCAAGGAGTGGCTGTGGCAAGGGACAGCCTCAGGCTCTGGGCAGGGCTGCAATCCCACCCAGGGACTGAAATAAACCCTCGTTTTTCCTGTCCTCTTAAGCTAGGTCATTTCCTAAACCCGGATTACATGACAACCACATAAACAAGTGGTAACCTCGGGGCAACTGCAAACTGCACCCGCCACCAAACTAAAAAAAGGAGAGAGAAGAAGAAGAAAAAGGATGTTAACATGCAATTACACCTTCAAATAAATGTCTGAAGAGCTACCGTGAGAAGGGGTGGAGAAATGAGTGGTCACTGAAGCAATCCAGCTGGGCACAGGCAGCACCACTGTGACCATTGTAATTACCTGCTGTCCCCCTGCTGTGCACAGCAGCATCTCCCACACCTCCAGTTTTGAGTTTTAGATCCTCCTGTGCCTCCTCCTGCAGTGAAGCAATGTGTCTAGCTGGAAGGAAAGGGGCTGCCCCAGAGGTGAGCTGGGATTTCACCACAGCCCTGGTGCAGGAGGCTCCATGCTTGGCTCAGCAAAAAGCTGCCTGACCACAACAGAAGCCTTTTTTTTCTTTCTTTTTCAAAAGGATTCTGTTAAAAAGAATAATCTATTCCTCAGACAGGAATGCTAACACTGTGAAATCCCAAACCAGAAACTGTGAAACCATAAACCATGAAAATAGTTGGTCAGTGTGTTGATATGCCCAAATGTGGTTTCTACTCATGACTTATGGTGGCTCCAGGTGCCTCACTGCATGAGCACTGCCTGTGGCTGCTGTACGGCTCCCCGAGAGCACCCTGCTGATGACATGGACAAGTCAAGTATAGCTCTTTTGGATCTCCCCTCCTCCTCAAGAAAAGTTTTCCAAATAAATCACGTTTTCAAGTGACCTGGAACCAGCCAGGTTGTGTATCCCAACACTAGGATGGGACAATTACTGCCCTCCTGTCACTCCAGGCACTTCTCTTGTCCAGAATGAAGTACCCGAGCAACCGGCCACGCACTGGGGCAGCTGCTGGGAAGATGCAGCTCACAGGCCAGGAGCTGGATGTGTGGACTGCACCCTTTACAGTGCACCTGCTTTGTGCATGAGCTCCAGCAGGATTTAATTTTACAGCTGCCCCACGCTGCACCACACATCCCCTTTTACAATCTCACACCCTGCAGCTTCACCCCTGCACCCTTGCCAGGGGTTTCCAACATGGCTAACAGATGATTTGGGGAGGGATTCCCCAAGGAACAGGTTTGTTTTACGTTGGGAAGATGTACATGCCCAAAGCTCTCTGCCAGGAACCAGAGCACCTCCTACCCCCTCTCCAAAAACAAAATTGGAGAGGGAGGTCAGAGCAACGACACACCTTCCTGCACCACCAGCTGCCCCCAGAATATCAGCAGGGGATCACTAAAGAAAGTACATGGTTTGTGGTGCCAATGAATCTTGGGATAGTCTTAGTGTCCACGTCCCTATCTGTCATGCAGAAGGATGCACTCTCCAGGTGGTTGGCAGTCTCTCCCCAGGAGGTCCTTTGGCACAAGCTGTGCAGCAGGCTCTGTCCTACCAGCACGGCCATCCTCAGTACACACACAGGTCCGGGAACTTCATCTCATACACTGGGATGGAGTGGTTCTGGGGCTGGCCATAGGCAGCTGTGATGGTGCCTGATGGGCTCGGTGGTGGCCTGAAACATGAGAGACAGAGGGAGGTGTTTTACAGAGGTGTTTCATGAGGAAGCAAAGCCTGTTGCAGGGCAGAAAACATCGCGTTCCTGCACCATTGCAGTTCTCCTCTGTGCCCCCGTAGCAGAAGGGAACTGCAGCAAACAAACCAGAGGCTGCTCCCACCAAACTTAATCTCCTGTGCTACCACAGGTACCCCAGTCCCAGGCTGGCACCCACCCCCAGCACCCTGCAAGCAACACAGCTGGGTGGCTTGACTAGCCATGCTCAGCCCGGCACGCTCAGCCATCACCCCAACTCACCGTATGGTGATCTCAAAGATCTGGTTGAGCTTGCTCTGCAGCAGCGTTGCCTGAAACACACACAGCAGCTGTATCAGTGTGGGTGCAACCCAGGAACAACAGCAATGCAAACAGGACAGACACTCCATCGGCCTTCCCCGTTCAGCAGAGAAGGAAGAAGGCGGCCTCACAGCATTCAGAGCTGAACTGTCACCATCCCCAGCTGAGACCATGCAGGGATTTAGGGCCACAGCTTCAACTCACCCGAGCACCACAGTGAGCAGCAATCTCCTCAAATGGGGCTTTCTGAAATTTCTCCACCACTTGTCGCCTCCGCTCTCGTTCTTGCTCCTCCACGGCGACGCTGTCTACTGAAGCAAAGGGGAAATGGCTCCCAGCTGCTCCCCTCAGCACAGATCATTCACACTACATCCCCACCCGCCAGCACACAGCACAGATTTGAGCATCACTAGTAAGCCAAGCAGAGGATCTTCGGTGCCCGAATCTGGGACCTGCCTCCCAGGAACACCCTAGGGAGAGGCACAGAGATGAAGCTGCCTGGCCGTGCTGCTACCTGGGTGCAATGTCACCATGGGAAAAGCACAGCGGATCCATCCATCCAGAGTGCACACAGGGGTGATGGGACCCACACATCACCCACCCATATTCAAACATGTCAGCCTCCACCTCTCCCTCACTTACCTATTGCCTTTTTCAGTGTCTCATATGTGATCTCTTCAGCTGGTGCTCTCTAGAGGAAGAGGAAAAGCAGATGGCTCAGTGTTCAGCACAAGACAGTGTTTTGGAATCACAGCAACCAAGAACCAGTGCCTCAGGCTGTATTCTTGAACTGAGACACAGCCTGTCTTTAACACACAGACACATCCTTCCTGACAACCTGTATTTTTAGAATGTTTTTTCAGGCTGGACTACCCTGGCCTCAGACCTCCCAACGGCTCCTGCGTGTATGAAATGTTGATAGTGGGAAAATAAAGGAGGAAGTTTTTCACTCAGAGGGTGGTGAGGCACTGGCACAGGTTGCCCAAGGAGGCTGTGGATGCCCCATCCCTGCAGGCATTCAAGGCCAGGCTGGATGTGGCTCTGGGCAGCCTGGGCTGCTGGTTGGTGACCTGCACACACAGGGGGTTGGAACTGGATGAGCATCGTGGTCCTTTTCAACCCAGGCCATTCTATGATTCGATGATTATACGAAAGGTTTGCCACCCAAACAGCAGTGTGAGATCCTTCCAGACATGTAACTCTCCTAACACACTTATCAGCACCTGGAGGGGAGCATCAGTAGGAGATGGAACCTTTCTGTGCCTGAATTGCTGCCAAACATACCAGGGCTGAATAATGGATCCCTGTGCTCATAGCCAGCAGAGCAGTTATGCACACAGCCACATGAAGA